ACCTGCCATGCAGTATTTTTACACGTGGTCTATGGACAAAACCTAGTAATAAAATTCTCATATATGAGAAATGTGTGACTGGGAACTTTGAATTGCTACACTTATTCTAGAACTAACCCCAAAATGTTTTCATCATGAAATAATGAATTTTGTACTCTCGGCTCTTGTAAGAAAGTTTTGCCAACAGTACTTTGATTATGTTCTGATCGCATAGGGAGAAAAAACAACTTAACAAATTTTCACTTTGTTTTTTTTTCTCGTTTCCGCTCGAAAACAAAGCAGATTTGAAGAAATTTGCCATTTAAATTTGAGTGATTTTGTCCTTTTACTGCCTGAAATTTACTTTTTAGTTCGAGAAAGATTTTCTAGTGAACGAAGAACAGTGTGTGAAAAAAGTCAAAAAGAAAAGATCGAAACAACATTTTTCAGGCTTTGTTTTGAAATCAATTTATGAATGTTTCATTTTGCTTTTTTTTTTAAATCCAATTACTTCTCTCCAATTAGAAAAAACTTTTGATACGTTAATGGTCCAATGAAGTTGAAATTTATTGTTAAGTTATATCCAAAATGATATTTTTTGTCAGAGTTTAGGTTCAAGTGCTCAAAGTTTAAGAAAACATGAAAATTACTACTAAAGAAAGTAAACCAATAAAAAACCCAAAAAAGAGGAAACACTGGGAGCAGAAGAAATTTGCCATTTAAATTTGAGTGATTTTGTCCTTTTACTGCCTGAAATTTACTTTTTAGTTCGAGTGATATATCTCAAATTGCAATTTCATAAGGGGCGGATCTAGGATTTTCTCGGGAGGAGGGGGCGGATCTTCAAAAATTTTCGAATCTTTTGTCGACCTTTTTTTTCAGTCCAGATCTGCGCAACCAAATGTTTTTCAGGATCACGGTGATCGGAACTCCGGGCTATGCTGGAACTCAGCTCAGGACAAAGCTGATGAGTCAGCGTTGGACGCAACCAAAAAAAATTGTAACGTGATGCGTCAGCGTTGGAGGCAACCAAAAAAAAAGTTGTACATGACTGGCGCCACCTCCGTTAACATAACCGCGAAGGCTGCGACGGAAAAAAGTGAATCTGAATTATTATTTTTTTGATATTAAGTTTGAATTTTTTTTGACATTCACTATTTGAAGTAATGCAGCAGCAAAATTCAGAAAGATTTCCTCGGTAATTGCGACTAAAGCAAACATTTTTGGACCGCCACGAGCGAGCAAACTGTCTGCGAACGGGTAAAAGTTGCATAAATTCTTTGCTGCACATTTTAATTATCAAGTATAATCTGCTACAACTTGAATGGATTTTTAAAAAATTTTAAATTCTTTTTTTTTTCAACAAAAGTAAAGTATTAAAGTCGATTACAATCCAAATGAAAATTCATTAATATGGTTATAATGAATTGTATTCTGTATAAAATTGTTGCAATTTTATTGCAAATTTTACGACATTTTCGGTATTATTTGCGGCCTACCCGATTTCTAAATCTATGTACAATAATAAAAGTTTCACGAAACCATCGATATTCGTTCACTCACCCCCACCTCTAAGAAAAAAAGCGTTTACTTCCCTAAGCCCACCCCCTGCATATACATGTATACATGAACCGACACTACTATGGCAAGAATTTAAAAAGCTAAAGTTATATAATAAAAACATGACGGATACTTAATCTTCAAACATAACTTCGACAAAAATTCGTTGAATGTGATTCTAGTTTCGCTTTTCTAGTAAATTGGCACATTTCTGATACTTCTTTTAAGAGATTGGGAACTGTGAGTTTATTTTTTTTTTTCAAAAAAATATCAATTGTCTACATCAAATGATAATTGAAGTGTTCAGTGTTCTGGATGCAGTTATGAAATTAAGCTTCAATTTAGTTTTTTTAATCACTATTTCAAATCAAGTAAATTTGAATTTACGAGTTTCGGTTGCACGAACTTTTTAAAAATTCTCAAATTTGTACATACTTTGTACTATGTACTAGCAAATTTGTACATACTCTGATTTAACAACTAGATCTAGCTAACTATAGCTTTGTTTACAATTAGACTGGCAGCAAAATTATTTGATGTTCCTCTCATTTCATTCAAATTTAAAAACATCTGGTTCGAAGGACCTTTCACTGAAAACTCGATCTCATTCCAAATCCTACGTAGCGACGTTTTTCTGACAAACTTATCTTTTTACTGGAATTAGGTGGGTGCAAAACTTTCTTACTGATTTAATTTATGGACCAGAAAAAACTGCGAAAACATATGAAAAAAATATGTGAAGAATATTCCCTTTTATGGAGCAAAGTTCATCGGTATTCGGTAATGGTGGTGCCATACCGGAGGGTATGATCTGTAAACAGCTACCGAATCTGAACGGATTGGCAAACAATACTGAATCTGAACGGATTGGTTTTTTGCTGTAGTTGGCGTTGTTTTTTGGCGCCCAAGCACAAAAATAGGTAGCTTCTTACTTTTGCGTCCAATTCGTCCCTCAAGAATGAGTACTTTGTTTTCCTGGCAAGCTCTCTTTCCATGGTTGTGTACGTTGCAATTTTTCTTTTGTGATTCTATCTCAACCGTAATTTTCAATTCTTAAATTGGTTTTGTTGGTTCTATTGTGCAGGTTTGTCTCACAAAAATTTCGAACTTCGAAGCCATCTTTTGCGAATATTGCCATTTCTACTATCGCCGCCAACTTCGACCACTCTAATGGAGGCTCTGCTGATGCTCATGCTCAAAATGGGCTGATGCTGAGTTGGTTTCTAATAAATCCTGCCGACATATCGGAGGGTATGATCTATATACAATTATCAAATCTGAACGGATTAGGAAACAAGGTAACGTTTAACAACGTCAATAAAACAATCGTTTCGCAAACTGTTCATTCCAGTTCTGCGCTTCTAGCGTAACCACTTTGTCTCAATAGACACAAGGTAACTTGAACAACATCACTGAGAAACGAAAAAACATCGTTTTCGTTCGAAATCCGAAGGACACGTCAGATTTTTACAGATGGACAATTTTGGACAATTTTTTTGACGGAGCAGTTTTTCATAGAAGTTGGTGGAAGTGGAGACAAAAGAGTGGATTTTGGAAGCAAAGTAAAAAGTTCGGAAAATCAATTTGATTGCTTATAAAAAGGGTCGAAAATTCTTTTGAAAAAAAAACTAACTCCTAAAACTTCCTAGAAATTACTGGTCTTTTTTGTTCCCAGTCGTTCGGTTTTTCTACGACGCTTCTGCGTTTTTAAGAGAGGGTCCTTAGTAATATTGAAATGATAGAACAGCTTCGTTTAATTTAAATACTTTCACAAGTCATCTGGAAAACATCTTATTGCTCCATTACGAAGATATTTTGCCTCTTTCTGAGTCTTCCAATCTGAGCGATGTCAAATTAGACGAGCTTCGCAAATTGACTGCAGTTGATAAAGTTATGTTGAGAAATTTTGTTAAAATTGGGTTCAGTAGAATAGAAAAAGCGATAAGACAAAATAGCAGACAGTATTATGTCAAAATAACTTAAAATTTTCAGGCCCAAACAAAAAACCTAATAAGGGTTTTTTGGCCTCTTTTGTTTGATAAAAACTACGCAAAAATAAACGTGCACAGTACAAATATGAATTGTTTTATTTTTTCTCTTCACACTTTACAAGAAAGTTATAAGGAAGCCTCAGATGTTTCTAACATTCTAAGAACTTCATCGATTATCGGTTTTTCATTATGTCTTGTGAATAGGTTTGTTTAGGCCAAATAAACTGCGAAATTTGCAAACGAAATTGGGGCTCAGCGTCACATTCTTCCTGGCGTTTTTTAAGTGAACCGTTCAAACCTGGGACCGTTTTCAAGATACAGTTGCGCCGGTGCGGAATTACCAATATTATGTAACGGCGGTCTGAAACCGCAAAATTCAGTCGAGCTGGTCTTATCGTCAGTCGCGAAGCTCAACTGTGCAAGCCGCTCGAAAACTGGATTTAATTTGGCGCAAAATTCGAAATTCGACTTTTTTGTTTCTTGTTGATTTTTTTAAAAATAAACATTGATCTTGATGATGAAATCAGATAAAATACTTTTTCAAAATTTTAGCTCAAGATACATTAATGACTCAAGATGAGTCATTAATAGCTTAATGATGAGTTCTGAAATCATCTCAAAAATTGTTATTTAACATAACCATTCCGAATTTTTGTAATTTTTGCTTTGTTTATTTTCTTTCTGAAGACAGTTGAAATCTTTCGTATCTAACTGACTACATTTCTGCGCGTTCGTATAGTTCTGTCATCACACGTACCATAAACGACTTTATTTTCAAGAGAAAAAAAAAGAAAATATTATTTATGAGAACGTGGTCGTAACATTCTGTGCTTTTTGCACAGCAACCTGTTATCCTTGTTTTGCTTGAACTCAGATGGTTGATATCTTCATCCTGGTTTGGAAAAACATCGTTTAAACAATTCCTTCTTTCGCCAAAATTGGTTTCATAACAAACTTGCCCCAAACCAACATCGAAAGTCGGAATAATAAACTTGAAAAGTTTTTCCGTGTTCTTTACTTGAGTTACTTCGATATGTTTATAGTCCTTTTTCGACCATGGTGATTCTGTTTTTTCGTTATTGCCAAAAAACTTTGATTCCGTGCCGTGTAGCTGAAAAAAGGCTTAGTTGGGTTTTGATATGATTGTTCTAGAACAAAACAAGCACATCATGATAAAGTTTATATCTGACAACGACTTTTTTTTCATGTTTCATAAATCGATAAAGCCATCAAAATCCTTCATTTACCCTTGAACTTTTGAACACATACTGTTATCAAGTATAATAAACAATGTTTCAATTGATATCAATGTTTACCTGTGATTTTAAACTTCCTCAATTGAGATCTTGTTTGTCTCAAAAGCCTGACATCAAAGAAAACTAGCAACGATTCAACATCCCTTTGTTTCCTTCTTTGTCTAGTACAACAAATGAAACTAAGTTTAAGTCATCTGTCGTGTCGCCTGGTATCTTAACTACCGCGATGTCGTGTCGCCTGGGATCTTTTCGCAATGTCAATTCAAATTTTCAATCGACGGCTGATACAAGTTTCTGAAATAGTGACTTAACGATGACGAGAGAATTTGAGCCTTTTGTCCTGGAAGGAATTCTTTTCGAAGGTTCATACACAAAAGAACAAATTTTGGCGACCCAGAACTTCCAGGGGAAATCAACGGACCTTCACTTGACAACATACCCTAGAACTGGAACAACATGGACTCAAAACATCCTAATTGGTTTGGTCTATGGAGTCGAAACCTTGATTGATCATGAAAAGTTCGAGTTACGAGAGTTGTTTCCGTATATGGAACTTAACTACCGCGATGGCGTGATTGGTTATGAATTAGCCAATCAGATCACGAGAAGTCCCCGAATGATGAAGAATCATCTGCCTGTACATTTGGCGCCGAAAGAGATTTTCACACTCAAACGAAAAAACATCATAGTTGTTCGGAATCCAAAAGATACGGCTTTGAGTTTGAAAAAGTTTTACCAAACGAACCCAAACTTGATGATGCATCTCAAATCAGATAAACTGGAAGACTTTTTGGACCGGTTTCTGGAAGGCAACGTTCTGTGCGGTAGTTGGTGGGAATGGACGAAAAATTGGCTGAAACATTGCAGGTATTTCGTTTTTCCCTACTTGAAAGGGTAGGAATTTTTTTGAGACACAAAAAAAATTGACAAGCTGGGTCTTTTTATAAATGTGGCTCAATGTAATTATTACATGGCTAGAGCGCGAAATTAAAAAAAAACAGCTGACTTACAAAAGGCAAAGATATTTTTGCAGGGAAAACCCAAGCACTAACCTGGTTATTCATTACGAGGACCTTCATTCCAACTTTGAGGGTGAAATATTCAAATTAGCCGATTTCCTCCAAATCGAACGTCCTAATTCGACCACAACGTGCAGTCTTCGAGAATTGACTTCGGTTAATTCGATGAAAGCCCGAATTGAAGTTCACAATGACTTCAAAGGGAAAGGATTGATCAATAAAGGAGAGATGCATGTTTGGAAGAACGAGTTTCCGGCCGAATTTGTGGAGAAATTTGACAAATTGACCAGAGAAACGTTCGCAGATGATCGAATATTCGAGCGATTTATCTAATGATCATTCAAAAGTAAATAAAACAGCTAAAATAAAACGCAAAGAACCAGACGCTTGATTTCATACTTTCTCTAAAAAATGTTCAAAAACTTGCTTTTCTCTTTAGAAATTTTTTTAATAATTACGAACAGTTATCGTCAAGATTATGATTGATGCCTGATACTTTGGTGGAAAACACACCCGAAAAAAAAAGAATCCTCTCCACTTTTAGGCGTTAGAACTAAAATAAAACAAAATCAAACCAAATCTGTTCTACTTATGTTTCATCATCGGTTTTTATTGCCACAAAATTTTCTTCTTAATTATCTCAAAAAAATCAAGGTTAATTGGTTTGAATTGAGGGGTGAATTTGAGTTAATTAAGTAATCCCTGTATATAAATCGTTCCCGAGTGAGTAAATCTATCAATTTTATTTTCTTGTTTTTAGACATTTTTGAAATTTTTTCAACTTGTTATTTTTGTCCAAAAGATTGTATCTGATAATTTGATGTCTACATCGTACATCTGGGATTCAGTCATTTTTATAGTCACCTTTACCAAGGTTGACAACCCCAGATAAAAAGTTTCGTTTCTTACATAATCTTATACGATTTTTGAAATTTTCATTCATGCCAAGCAGGACCAAATCTAGTGGTGCAACATTCAGTCGATTTTAACCTTCGAAGGCTCGTCAAAAACAATCGAAGAATCGGTATTTCATTGGAATTTTCAGTATTCTTAAAAAATGGAGGATCAATATTAAATTGAAAATTTTTTCAATTTTCACGCAGAAAAATTGCATGTTCACAAGGAATGTCCCGCGTTTCGCCCAACACACAATTCGCCCCTCTCAAATCTAGTGGCACATTTCGCCCCTCACACATTTCGACCCTAATAATTTCACAAATTTCGTCCTCGCACGTTTCGCCCCTAACTTATTACACAGTTAAGTGACGCCGCTTTCTTAATGTAAATTAGGGGGAAAATGTGCCAGTAATTTATGAGGGGGCGAAATGTGTGGGGGCGAAAAGTGCACTAGATTTAAAATGTGTGGGGGCGAAATGTGTGAAAATCGTTCACAAGATCTCCAGTAAGTGTTGCTCTTTTCTTGGAAAAGACATTTCCAGCAGTGCTGAAATCACGCTCAAATGGAATACTCAAGAATGGTTTGCAGAAAATTTTGAACCACTACTCAAAGCAATATTTTTTTACCCTTTTTCACATTTCAAACCAATATTAAAAAAGCTGTTTGTTCTTCTTGTTTTCTTGCTAGTATGATCGCTGCATTATAGTAAGAGCTTTTTTCTATTTTCAACACAAGTTCAATTGTCTGCAACTTTTCTGATTAAACTAAGTGCTTTTAATGTTTCCAAACTATATTCATTATATACATTCATTAAAATTAACAATGTTTGATTTCAGACTTTTTAATCTTGAAAGCAATTTTTTAAATAGCATACTATGAAAAAAAAAACAATTTTTGGGACTCAATATTCAAGGTCGACGGAATGATATCTATATTTTTTGATCTTCTCGCTCGTGCAGCTCCTCTGCTATCAATGAGTCTGAATCCACCGCCTACTCTCTCAATAGATCTTGGGAAACACTGGTTCAACGAAGTTAGGGTCGAAACATCACTTATATACCAGTCAGTCAGTTAAGCGGTATGATCAGAAAAAATGGCTAGTTTAAAAAAAATTGTTTAATATTTAGTTTGAATGGATAGTTTCAAATACTGGGAAAGCTCGTAATCCATAAAAACACATATCAAAAGCTGAAGCTGAATGAAAAGGAAGTTCGAATCAAGAAGCGGTAATTACTGCAGAAGGAACCATCCCCCGTTTCTACATTTTTCCATATCGTGTTTGATGAAAACCCTGTGTTTTCCACCTAATCAAAAAGTCCAATCAGGACATATTTCATTTTCAAAAGTGATATTCAATAAATTCAATAACTCTCTAGCACACATACCTCGTCCACTCTCCCAAAGGTACCCGGGCGAATTTTATAACAGTGTCTGAGAAATTAAATGTTTTAGGCTAATTAACTTGAGTAAGCGAAATCACATGTAAAAAAAGACCAGTCAATGTCATAGTTTCTTATCACTTCGTGATCAAATCTTGGTTGGAACAAAAATAACTTTGATTGTAATTTTTTTGAACAGAATATTTATAAAAGACAAATGAGACTGTAAAAGCACTGGTTATATTGCTTAACATATTCAATAAATCGATTAAATTGGTTAACAGATTCAAAAAGATTTCCATTAAAGTCGATTACTTTAACTTGTTAGGAAATTCACCTAAAATGACGCCTTCCTCCTTCCTCGAAGATTCGACCCCCTCAAAAGCCAAAGGGTCCCTCTTTTGGTATTGTTTTATGACATGCAAATTAGGCCGAGCAACCCTAAAGTTCTTCTGGAGGCGCCTTTGGTGCCATTATATACTAATTTTGAAGGGGAGTGCGCACCAAAAAAAAATGTTTTTTTGGTCAAAATTTTCCAAAAGAGTCTAGAAACGGCTTTTTTGACCGTTTTTTTTGAAATTATCCAGCGTTTTTAACATGCTTAAAAATTGCGAGCGTAAAATACGGCCTTTGTAGTGTTGTGGGAGTGCTCGGAAAACCAATTTGGTCGACCCAAAAAAAGGCTGACAAAATTTACAACATTTTTTTGAAAACCCGCCCCCCTCCGAGAAAATCCTAGATCCGCCCCTGATTTTCTCTACAAATTTGTTGCGAAAGTTTCGAATCTTTCTGCATTTTTAACGACATACTCGATTTCTGAACCTACTTCAATCCCTTCTCTATAAATTTGCAAAACAATATCCCTCGCAAAATTAACAACCGTCCTTATTTGATCCCCAAAAAACACCTCCCTCAAAAAAAATCCCCCGCTCCCACACCTAATCCGGTTGCTCAAGCTTACCCCCCTCCTCTCATACTCACCTTCTGGGCACTGATCTAGACAGGGGTAGTAATGTAAGAGAGGGTGTAAGACGAGGAAGCAGATATTCAAACTTTTTTTAATTGAAGACTTTTTGGCCCGCAAAATTGATGCTTTTTTTCATATTGAACCTAAGAGGGTTAAATGAAGGGAAGGATCGTAATAGAGCAACCACAAAAAAGAGCAGCAACAATATATTTAAAAAAGTGTATGAAAAACAATGAAGCGAAAAAAAAAGAAAACAAGATAACAGTTTCATAACCAAAAACAATTTCACTTGCAAAAACAACAATCAAATTTTGATTTAAATGATATGTATTTAAAGATTTGAGACTAAGTTCAGAAAAAAAAACAATCATAATCAGTTAAAACAGGTTAAAATGAATTTAAATTAAAAGTTATCAGTTGAAAAAAAAGTAACAAAATAAACCATTTTAAATCGGTTTCTGGTTTTAACTGAATTGTATACAGACTGACTATAAAATTACATTAATCAAAAATTGTCAACGGAGCTTCAAATAGAAAAAATGTACTGCAACGGGCAATGTCCATTGAGCTCCAAATCGGTAAAACCTTATGCGACCGACAACCAAGAATTGTCGTCTCATGACCAAAAAACCTTCTCGCTTGCTTTGTGCGCTTGAATTTAGACTAAAAATCAAAAATTTTATACCTGTTTTTCTCGATACTGGGTTAAGTTTACAAAAAAATGATGTCGATGGAATAACGTCTGAAAGACCCAAACTATGGTATATCTCTCGACACATTCCAGTGATTATTTTTTTGGTACCAAATTTTGTGCCGGAACAAAAAAAAACAAAGTGAAAACAAAGATAATCGTTTACTGTGCAAGCAGCACAGAATGTTCCGACCATAGTCTTATAAAAATCCACAAAAAAAGTTTTACTACGATGTCGTTTTTTCTGCATTCTGCGTGATAAAAAGAGCTGAACGAAAAACTGGAAGAAACACCAAAATTCATTTCAAAAAACCAAAAAACGTTTTGAAATTTTTCAGTTTTTTGCAGAAAAATATTAGAGTTTTTGAAGTTTTGGTTCCCAAAATGGCGCTTAAAACTTCCAAAAATATTTTTTTTTGAGTAAAATTAAAATTTTTTGGCTTAAATTAAGCCTAATTAGGCTTTTTCATCTATCGTAAGCCTGCTGCTTGCTCGCTTTGATTACTCGAATTTAGACTAAAAAATCAAAAATTAAAACAAGTTTTTCTCGACACAGTTTTTGTTGAATTTAGACTAAAAAATCAAAAATTAAAACATGTTTTTCTCGACACAATTTTGATTTTTCAAAATATATTTGAAGTCGTTGGAATCACTACTGAACAGGGGCGGATTTAGCCCCCCCCCCCTCAGGGATTCGACCCCCTGCCCACCCAAAGGGTCCCCCGTTTGATACTTTTTTCGGATATCCCTTTTTGGCCGACCTACCCAAAAATTATTCTAAAGGCGCCTTTGGCGCCAATATATACTAACTTTGAGGGGGAGCGCGCGCCAAAAAAAGCGCGATTTTTTTGTCAAAAGTTTTCAAAAAGTGCCCAAAAACGGCTTTTTTGACTGTTTTTTCAAAAATTTGCCTGCGGCGCACAAAATTTTGCCACAATCGGGGCAAAACAGTGCTTTGGGAGAGCTCGAAAAATTAATTTGGTCGACCTAAAAAAAAGGTTGTCAAAATTTTCGACTTTTTTTTAAAATCCCCACCCCCCTCGAGAAAATCCTAGATCCGCCCCTGCTACTGAAAGAGCTTCAATATGATATATCAATCGAGACATTGAGGTTACTATTTGAAGCACCTGATTTTGCGTGGAAAACAAAAAAAAATACTAAAATACACCCAAATACAAATCTTCTCCCCATTTTCAATGGTCGGAATGAAAAAGAACTAAAACATACCCACAATTTCCAGCCTGGATTACTTATTCTTTTACACTAAAAGTGAATAAAAAAATTGGACTTTTCACTATCATTAAATTTTCAAAATTAGCATTGATTGTTATTTTCAAACCCATATAAATCCACTGAAAACAATCGCAAGTGATTTATCTTATTTATTTTGATTTTAAGGCAATAAACTTTTTCAAATGGTTTGACAAAATTGCCCAAAATTGCTGTATTACTGTTATGGGGCAAAAATTAACCTTTTTGACATTTCAAAAACTGTTTCATAGTTCTCACGTCAGATTGGCTGTCATTAAAGTCAGCGGATTGAAAAACTGTATTTGAAAACCAAAAAAAATTAGCATGGTGACTTTGGGCCAAATAATAGAAAACACCCAAAAATTGTCAGTTAAATGTCGAAGAAAAATTACCCGATCGCTAAATTCTTCCCTTCAAAAGTGAGAACGACAACTTTCTGGCTTTCGAGTAAATTTCAGGAAAGAAATTTATACTGCGCAGTTTTTGTCTGAGCTTGATTATTGTCACTTCATTTTGAAACGCTTTGCATATGGATTGTCCATTTAACTGAAAAATGTACTTTGAAGCTACTATCTTCTGAATGATCCACGCCTCAAAGTGAAAAGTTTTTTAAAATGTCGCTAACCTGTTTTTAGAGGTCATTTGAAACATGACTGCGACATTTTGTCAACAAATTTGTTTGATCAGTGATTTATTTGGAAGTTCTTAAATATGGACCATTGGGTAACATTTTCCAGCGTGGTCGACTAATAAAAACAAATTGATCTTCTCAAATTTGGTGTTTGTTTGGACCACTAATACCACTTATTGTCAAGGTGGTGGAAAACTGTCGTCATCTTCGCTGCTCAAATACATCAAATTGTAATTAAGCGGAGCTCAGTTTAGTTTGTAATTACTTTTTGTGAAACCAATCAATAAACTTGTGTTTCGAAGTTATGAAGCTATTTGCTTCGATCTTCACTTTTGGTGCTTTTGTTTTGCTAGCCCGTGCTGAGTTTTTTGAGCAAACGCGTGAGTGGACATTCCGAAACAACAAAAATGTAGTCGGGGTCTCTACAAACGAAGTGTACTATCAATCCTTTAACTGGGACGTTCTCTCAGACGCGAGGTCCGATTTCTACAACAGTCTGCAAAATGAACTGGGAAACTTGATCAATGCCGGCATCAATGGCATTTGGTTCCCCCCTCCGTCGCAGACGGCGGATAACCAGGGGTATATGCCGGGGGAGTGGTACAATATTCCAGGGTCTGATCAATTGAAGTCAGTGGCTGCGAATGTAACCCAAAGTGGCCTGAAGGTAAGTTTATTTGGCAGGTAAAAAAGAAGCTCACAAATCCGAAGTATTTCAAGCAAAGATACCAAAAAATAGAGAAATTTTTGTCCGGCTATCTCCATCTTTTCCCGAGCATGATGATTAATGAGCAAAGTTAGGATAAATACTTTCAGTGGCTCAAAAATCAACCAAAACAAAGCGATCATCAAAAAAGAAAGTTTTGGACTAACGAATTTACCCGCGCATCGCTTTTTAGACTAGAGCTTCTCTTCCGAGAAATACAACAGTGCCCAAAGTTGTCAGGAGTTAATTACCTGAAATTTTATTGCATCAGAACTGCTTTGAACGTCAGAAAAGGGTTGAGAAGTCAGTGAAAAGTAAATAACTAACTTTCAATTGATTACTGCATTTATTTTATCCAGGTGATCATGGACATCGTGATCAACCACAGAAGTGCCCAGCAGGTGGATGGCTGCAGTGGGCAGTACTCTATCTTCAACAACCCCGACTGGGGAAACGACAAAGTGGTCAAACACGACTCCCTCTGCAATGGGGGTTACACTGTGCCAGACAACTGCGGACCAGGTATATACGCTATATATTTATCCACATTCAATATAATGACAATACGTGTTGAAAAGATAATTTTTTTTGAAGTTTTTTTTGTTTTTTGTTGAATTGTTTTGGAAATTTTCTATGGCTTTCCTGGAACCAGACATGGTACGAAGTATAAATGCACATTTTTTTTCAACCCCAAAAATGGCAAAATGGAAATATCCCAGCCCAAAATCTCATTCCAATTCTGATCAACTATTTTTTAAAAGTTTCATTGCCATAGTTAGGTAGCATAAAACAATTTGATCACATTTATTTCTTCAAAACACAAATTAAAAATTTTCAGAACAATTAAAATTAAAATGATTATAGATTCAACTACTCGTTAATAAAACATTAAGAAAACGGAAAAGTGACGTTCAAGTAATGATACTTAAAATCAAAATAATTGAAGATTGGATATTCAATTATAAGGCCAGATCTTGCATAAAAAACCATCAGAATTGGAGGGCTCTGTTTTTGTTCGTACTCTCTCATTGATGTAAATAAATAGATGAAGAGGGCAGGGTTTGACAGAAATTCGATCGCTTAACCACACAAAAGGCAACCAGTTTTGTTTGAATTTATTGCATTTATTTCTGACTGATCGACCCTAGAGTTTTTCTAAAGGCGCTTTGGGTGCCAATATGTATTAATTTTGAGGTAGGAGCGCCGGCTTAAAAGGAGCTTTTTAGGCCGAAATTCTTACCAAATTGTCAAAAATTGCGTTTTTCTACAAAAATTTGCTTGCGGCGCAAACATTTTTCTCAAAATACGGTTTTTTTAACTTTAAAGTAAGCTCTAAAATCAGAGCTTACAACAATCAGATTTGACAAAAAGTTTTGAAAAACATTTTAAGTCCATCAAGAAAAGTCCAGGACCGAAACAAAATAAAGAAAAAATGGTTCGATAAATATGCGTGCTAAAAATTGTTTTCCCTCCAACTGACTAAGAAATGACGCAATGAACATCGACTGGTATATCGGGCTGACAAAAAAAGCCTAACATTCAATTTCAAACTATTAAAAAAAGCTTATTAGACCATTTCATAAAATAGAAATTAGTATGAAAATAGCGAGATAAGCATTTTTTCCAATCAAAAAATTTTTATAATAAACCTTTTTTTCCATGTTTTGGAATTATAACACAAGCTTTTTGCCATACTTTTTTTCGCAAATTTTTTTATGAAAATAGCAAAATCAATTTTTTGTTCTATGAAATTGTAAGACTAGCATTTTTCTTTTCTATGAAATTATATGAGAAGCATTCTTTTCCATAAATGAAAAACAAAAAAAGTTTGTTTTAAAATTTTGTGTTTCATCCGAATGACCAAAAATTTTCTGTCATAAAAAAAACAGAGTGTATCTGCTGCTAGTTACCACGCAGATAAACTGCATTTGGTAATATTAGTCATGTGCGTTCACTTTCTCACAGAGTTATACATACCTAAAACGTAACTTTTTGTGTATGGCTTGAAAACTTTTAATGTGACAACTTCTGTGATTGACAAAAAAGGCCTGTTTTTTTTCAAATTTATATACGTTAGCATAAAAAAAATAATTGTGCTCTCCAAAAAACACTTGCTTGTGTTGCTTGGGTTTTTTTTGGGTTTTTTGTCATGCAAAACGTTTTTCTTAAAAAGTTCATTCGAGCACAAAAGCAAGTTTGCAACCAGAAAAAAAAACAGTAAAAAACATTTTTACGCCAAATTGGTATTTTTTCTATGGAAAAATGCAATTCATACAATATTCATTTATGAAATTGTGAGATAATAAAGTTTTTTTGTTCAAAAATTTGTTTTTGTTGCCAAAGTTGCTCTTACGTAAGCAAAACTGCCACGAATTTGTTTTGTTTGAGTCTTAAGCCAAATTAGAATAGTTTCTGATAAAAAGAAAAGTTTGTCAAAAAACGTTTTCGATTGAAAAAAAGCTTGTAATGCTATTTATTTTTTTTTCTAAATAAAAGCACGATAAGCCTTTTTTCCATAAACTTCATATTTGAAACTGCATGATAAGTATTTTTCTTGTATGGAAGTCAACCCGGGGTAAAACATATAAAGATACAAGTAATCCTTTAACATCTATGAAAGATTTTTTCAATAATAATTAAGGCCAAGTCTTGCCTTTTTGATTTTTGCCAATTCTGCAGAAATACACACGCCACAAAACGAGCAAACTATGGGCAACATTTGACCATTGCGTAAAAACAGAAACTGATGTAAGTAATTTTTCTTTTTTTTATAGCGAGGATTTTTCGGTAGGTCTTGTACATAATTGAAAAATGCCAATTACTTGGCATTGTTCTATGAGGCAAAATTGTGTAATTTCCCAGCGAATTGTGCGATTAGGCTCAATGACGTTTATCAAATGAGGAATTTGGAAATTTTGCAAAGCAAATATACGGCCTATTTGATTCCTTTTGCTTCTTGCCCCTAATCTTGCCCTTTTGCGCCCTTACAGCCCCCATCCCAACATATGACCATCCAACTGATTCAACCTCTTACCCCACCAGACACGACACCCCTCCCAGCCCTACCTGAACCCCGATATGAACCACTCGCCACTGATCAGAAGCACCCTCTCCCCCGCCAGAACCAATCCCCCTCCCCACACGGGTTTGTTCTGGTGTTGCGGGGAAAATGGTTCAAGTGGGAGGAGAGGAATTTGTTCAGGTGGGGGTAGGTTAAGGTCAGAGGGCGGTTGGTTCAACTTTTTCTGGTCATTTTTCTTAAAAAAGCGGCCAGAACAGCCATGTTTGGAAAATTTTAACCAAAAATCTACTTTTGGCACGAAACCCTTTTCAAAACAGTCCGTTATAATCATCGTCCCCTCCCCAAAAAAAAATCTAGAAACCCTTAACAAATTGTTAAAAGGAGTGAAATTGAAAAACGGAGCAACATTAAATCTCTAACAAAAATCAAGCTTGCGCGAAACAATGTGGAAATTGAATGGACAAATAACCAATTTTAGTTTAATACATTGGGCCTGGAAATTCGCATGTCAAAATAGTGAAGAAAAACAACTTTTGTAATGTAGTTTCATTTTTTTAATGCTCTTTTAAGTTATATCAAAATAAATCATTTTCAAATTATCATAATCAATAGTTTTTCACTTTTCTAGACACTGACAAAAAACTCAAACTTAATCGTTTATTACGGATTAAAATGTTGGTTTTTTGACAATTAAAATTGCTTATAATTATCAAAATTAGGCGTTTAAAGGATTTATATGATCAATGATAATCGTGATATTTTCCAAGAAATTTTAATGTCTCGTAATTGATTATAATTGATTACAATTAATGAAAAACTCTTTATATCTATCATAATCAATTATAATTTCATGTTTTGCCAAAATTTTGTCACGACAAAACTATGCTTTAATTTAAAATTATCAGTTATTAATTTTCTGCCAACAACAAAATACCTAAAACGAGATGTCTCGTCGCCCTTTGGTTCATCTGAACACAAAGTTTTACCACGAATCAAAAGTTGCATAAAGATCTCTTCATTTAAGTTGAAAGGTTCCCGCGATAGGTGAAAAATAACAAAAAACCATAAGCAATTTGCTGATTTTTTGGTGGTTAAAAAACTGAAAATGTGCATCTTAAAAAACTTAAAAAATGATACCACTCTAATCAGGAAGAAACAAAAAATAAAACATTATAGATTTGAACTGATTTGAAAACTATAAAAAACAATTTTCTCTTTCTTCTCATAAATCAAGGTATACGAAGAGCATAAAATATAAAAAATTTGTCGAAAAATTGATTGATTATTAATTGATTAGAATCGATTAAAATGTATTATAATTTTATTCCAAAAAGAGGTATTGTAATCGATAAAATTGATTAAAATCAATTTTTTTCTCAATTTAATAATACTGGTGATAAATTCATAATTTAATCGATGACTATGCTTGAAACTGGATGCAGGAACTGTAATAGTGCAAAAAAATCCAAATAGAAAGAGCATTCATTTTGGTAATTTAACCACTATTTTTACTTAATTGTTTTATGGGCAATTCGTTTGACATAAATAAACGAAAGTTCATAATGCCTATTATACTTATTTGGATTTTCAATTGTGGATGTTTGTAGGCAATTACGACACAGGGGAGAACACTTGCTACTGCCCGGATGTGGACCACACCAATGGACAAGTGCAGAACGACATCATCAACTGGCTCAACTGGCTACAAGCCAACTACTCCGTCACCGCATACAGGTCAGAGCCATGGCTAAACTGATGCTCCTTGTAGTATATCCATAATGGTGTCATTAGGGCTTCACGATTGTTTTATAATCATATATACTTTGATTTCCGTGAAAAGCTTTACTTTAGGTTTCGATCTATTGTTTTAAGAGATGATTTTCATTTTAAAAAAAGACGTAGACTTCTTTTCGATTGACCAATTTAATTGCAGAGCTCTAATAAATCACAAAAATGGGGCTTTGGCTAATAATTTAACCAATTTTTCCTTACTTTTTGAAGGTTAAACACTTAACTAAACACTTAACCAGCTAAAGATATAGAATAAAATTAACTTTTGAGCTCAAGTTATTGATTTCTGTTTGGCTGTTCAGATTTGACTTTGTGAAGGGGTACAGTGGCTACTACGTGAACAAGTACATCTCGGCCACATCCCCTGTTTTCTCGGTGGGGGAGTGTTTCGACGGGGACACGGGGGTGGTGGACAACTGGATCCAGAGTGCCTCCTACTCCTCCACTGCATTCGACTTCCCCAACCGATACTACCTCAAGGACGCCATCAAGTAAATCAAAATGAACAAACTTATATTAAAAAATTGCAAAGAAAAAGGCGTCTGAAAAGGTAGGAAGTTTTTAGGAAATTTAGGAAAGTCTACATTATTGATCTGACAATCCTAACTCCTTTAAACTAAGTTTGCCCAGAAAGAATTTAACAATGAAAAGTAATTTGAAAGTAGTAGGTAGTTGGATAGCTGTAACCCAGCGCTGGGGGGGGGGGGGGGGCTGCGAAATATAGAAATTAAATTGTTTACATTTTTTCCTTTGTAAGTATATGCATCTGCGTTTTGATAGCAACAACAATTATGGCGGCATGGAGCAGGGTCTCAACCCAGCAGGTGTGATTGGGGTGTACCCTGGACTAGCCTGTCCCTTCCTGGACAACCACGACACCTCCAGGGACGACAGATTCTGCGGGGGAGACCAGAATAAACTCATACAGGGTTAGATTTCAATACTGGTTATAAAGAGGCTGATTATGTAAATCTTAAGCTAAACTTTACATTTTTACCTTTTTATTGTATTTGGCTCAAAAAATTTTCAGGCTTCCATGAGTAGCATTGATTTTTCGATCAACCGTAAAAGTTACAAAAAATGAGAAAAAGTGAGGGAGTAATTAAAATTGTATATTCTTGTATTTCGTATTTTAGTAATATTGTTTTTCTTCGTTTTTTTAAGTTTGTCGAATTGAGCTGGAAATGAGCTATCAAAATTAGATCTCAGCTTGTTTTTTGACAAACAATTGCGCCATTAGTATGTTTCATAACTGTTTGATTCTATTTTGAACTATGCTCACTATTATATTTTATCAATTAGCCTTTGTGACCTTTTCTCTTATGTGGTGACAAAATAACCTGAAATCAAATTTTTTTTCGGTTAAACTTTAAAAAAAAAACAAATAAACTTCTGTTCAGGGTACGCCTATATCCTCACCCATCCTGGAATCCCCTTCGTCTTTCATGACGACTGGTTCATGAACCCAGTGCAACAGGCCATAAAGACCATGATCAGCATCCGCAAGAACCACCAACTGAGCTCAACTATGGACATCTACATCGATAGACACGAAGGAGGTCTCTATGCTGCCTATATGGGACCAGGAGCTACCCAAGTTGGAGGCGGTAAGTCATACATATTCATACACATTCAAAAGTTATGAAACATTTGTTGCTTTAACGATTCGGTAACTTTCTATGGATTCTGTGGAATCATAAAACGCCCGACTTGAATGCCGCGTAGCATATTTTTGACAAATCAAAACTTTTTTCAGGTTGACCAAAATATGAAACGCGCCATAGAAATCGCGCCATTTATGATTCCGCACAATCCATAGGAAGTTGGCAATTTAAAACACTTGGGATCACTACCAACTTTCGATTAGTGTTTCAACGCATAACTGGACAACTTCTTTTTCTGGGAACATCATTTAACAACAACTGTAAAAACAATTTCTCGATAATGGTTAACTCTTTTCATTTATCCGAGGAGCTTTTTTTGTGAAAACATTACAGAAAACCAGATGAGGATACTTTTGTTGGGGCTTAAAAATCTTATCAAAATTATTTATCGCAATATCGTGCGGAAAGGTTAAGGATCCATAACCTTTATGAAGAGATTGTGTCTTTATTGACATCAGACTATTGCTCCAACCATTGAAAAATGTAGAGTAATTTTATATTCAGGTGCGTTTTAGTTTCCCTTTTTGTTTTCCACACAAAATCAGGTATGAAAGGATATTTGCTTTCGGGTGTAATTTAATCAAGTATTGTACCACAAATAATGATCGAATTGGGTGGAATGATATATCATTTGAAAGATCGTTTAGTCGTGATTCAAACGACAATTAAAAATTTTCAAATAAAGTTCCCAGTGTCGAGAAAAACCGGTGCCGATTTGAAATTTTTGGTGGTTCGTCTAATTTCGACCGAAAAAAGTAACGATAACTTGTGCAATTGGTCATTTAAGCTGAAAAAACCTGACTTTTCCAAATGGAAGCCAGTTCTGCAAGCTATATTTGGCACTTCCTTGGCAGAGTTTTTTTTAAAAAATTTTGCAAAAAAATATAAAAAACTGCAGAAAAAATAGAAAAAATAGAAAAAATAGAAATTTTTTTGAATTTTTTTTTTCAATTTTTTTTTGAAGACAACTGTTGTCGATTATGCCTAATTTACTAACTTTTTTGGATAGTTTTTTCATCAAACCGAGTTTAAAAAACGACACTCATTTGAGGAAATTAATAGTTTGAAGAACGTTTATTTGTAGTTTTTTATGAATATGGTTGGAACATTCTGTGCTACTTGCACTGCAACTCGCTATCCTTGTTATATATTCTTCATGAGCCAAATACCGATTTTCAACTTCGGTAAGACCAGCGCTTCCGGTGACCTCGGGTTACTCAAAACTAGGCAAAAGTAAATTGTTTTTAGGCACGGTGGCAATGAAGTTGGGAACTAACAACTGGAGTCCCTCCGGATCCAGTTGGACTCTGATGACCTCCGGAACTAACTACGCAATCTGGGCCAGATAGACGCCAAGTTTAGATCCAAGACTCCAAGACGTTATGAGCCATAGAGAAAAACTAAGAGATAGATTATTAACAAAATATTAACTGTGAGTTTTTAAAGTGAATGAAGTTATTAGAAAACGTGTTTTTGTTTCTATATTCCTCGGAGGACATGCAATTGAAGCATAGAGCCCTAGTCGCTGAAACTTGAGCTAAGCGCTACAAGCATGTGATGCAGTTTAGACTCGAAAGACGCAGTGGAAAGTGGGAAGACGCAAAAAGTGCAGCGGAAAGTTCCATAAAGCTTCTTATGTGAATTGAAATAATTTCGAGCATGAAATTAGTAGAAAGGTTTTCGACAATTTTTTCACTCCTCTTTCAGAAAATTATACCTCAGCCTGAGGAGTTTTTTTTTGCAAATTTGAGATCTAAAAATTACTCCGGAAGAAGTTCTAAATTTTCATTTTAACTTCTGTTTGATTGAATGAGCACCACAAATAGTTGAGAAAACCTCAAAGATTAATCATTCCTCTGTTTTGTCTGTTTTTGGAAAGGATTCTCCTCTTGTTCTGCTATTTTATTTTTTGAGTTATGGAAGATCTTTCTCATGAATCCGTTTTGTACCAGGAAAACAGTATGCCAAACTGACAAAATAAACAAAACTGTTGCATAGAACAAAGTCATGTTGTAGAATCCAAATACTTCGTAGAAGCAATCTCCGATGAAGAGCGATCCAAAAGATCCGCCGGTTGTCAGAACAAGTATGAAACCAGTAGCTGCAATTACTTGAGCGTCTAATAACTCGTATCCTTGCTGTATTGCAAGGTTTTCCAACAGTAAGTAGATTAAATTAGTCACTGTCGATAAGGGTACTCCAAGAGCTATAAAAATCGACGATGACCAGTAAATGCTTCCGAAACTTTGAAAACATTTCGGCATGAAAAATGCAAAAATCAATAAAACGGCAAAAAACTGATTTGCCACGCTAATATAAGACCCGAAGCCATTCTGAACACCAAAACCAACGAATGGTTCAGTTAAGATAACTGCTAATCCGTGCTGAAGAAAAACATAACCAATTGTAATTTCATCTAATTGAAGAAAGGTTTTGAGATAAAGGGTATACGCAGAGTCACGCACGCCGCAAATTGAATAAACTCCTGCTAAGGGTAAAATAACAGCAATGCTTGACCATTGCTTGAAAAACTGAAAATAATTCACATCGTTTTTTCCACTTTTTTCTGATGGGTTCTCGATACCTTCTCGGATTGAAGGTAAATAAATCACGCAAAGTAGGAAATCGACAAATAGAATTAAACCGACCAATAGAAATGGAGCTTTGAATTCGTAGAGGGCGAGAAAAGTCGCTACAATCGGGGAGCCGAGACACCCGCCGAGCCCGAAACAGGTCATAATTACGGCAGTCACTATTCCTGCTTTTCCCGGGTACATGTCAACGGCAATCGGAATTCCAGTACCTAAAAAGTGCCTGGAATTATTATCTTTTTTGGTTAAAGGACTCTCAAACATATTCCCTTACTACTTACTGACCTCTGTTTCTGTAGGGCTTACTTTTTGGTTATAAAATTATGGATTTATTCTGGAATAACTGATTGAAACTAAATTCACTTTGTCTTCTGGACTTCAAAGATGCCAATTTTAAGTTTCAGACTAAATTCACAGAAAAAAATTACCTAAAACGGCTTTTATATCAAGTTGAAAAATAATCACAAAAACATCAAGAAGGGCTTCGCGGGAGAAAAACGTCTTCCGGCTAATTTTTAATATAAGAATTTGGTCAATTAAGTTGCATTGTTTTTTAGTTAGGCCAACAAGTTAACAAGAGGCAAAAAATGTAATCTGGAATGAAAAGTTATCCAAAACGATCCGAAAAATTTCATGCTGTACCGTAAACCATTGTAATTGCACAACCATCCAAGACTCCGGTCAGAATGGCAGACAAGTAGTAGACTCTGGTGTTGTAGATGTACACCAATGTTCCAAAGGAGTAAACTGAAGTGGCCGAGAGAAATACTCCGAAGCAGAAAGTGGGCCGAACTAAGCCGGGTTGGATAGTACATGCAAAGATGACGGAGGAAAGAACGTTGCTGAAGTCGAAGGTTGCGGAGACACTTCGTATCTGAGTCTGACTCAAACCTGATGATAAAGAAGTTTTATCAAACCGGCTAGTTTAATAACCAAGATGATAACAAGAAAACCATTTTCAAATCAAAACAGGATAGCTAGTTTTTTCATAGCTAGTCATATATAGTTTATTCTTAAATGCATCTTGTGTGGTATAATCAAAGATAAGGATCTGAAAGATAAGGATCTGATTTAATATTTATAGTAAAACAGGCATATTGGAAATCAGTTTAATTCGAAAGGTGACTAATAAAAGAATAAAAACAAAAAAAAGAAAAAAGTAAAACACACCCGAATACAAGTTCTTCCCCAATTTCATTTGTCGAAACAAACATCTTACACAAGAAAACCCGATTGAATGAACTCCAACTTTGAATTTTCAGTGCCTTGCAAACCAGGCACAGATCTAGGATTTTCAAAAAACGGGAAGAGTCCAGTTTTTGAAAAAAAAGTTATGTTGAGGCCTACCAAAAATAAGCTTCAAGCGTCCCCCTAAGCACTTTATAAATCACACTTTGCAAAAAAAACTCCGCGCCCGAATCTCCAATTTTTCCACCTTTTCGAAGATTAGGATCTCAGCGTGCACTCACCCCTGTAAAAATTCGATTAATTTTAGGGGCGCCTAGCGTAATTGGGTGTGATAAAAGAGTTTCAGTTGGAAGGGTTTTGGATGCCAGTATTGACAAAAAATCGATTTTATACAGATAATATAGCAAAACCTAAAAAATTGTTTAGAATTATAATAAAATTAGCGTGTGCCGCACCTCCGGTGCTTCGAATTTTCAGCAACTCAAAAAAACTATTCTTTGAGTGTATTCTGACAGCACCCAATTACAAGGTTCTTAATTAAAAATTTTGAAAGTTTTTTATTCACGTTTTTTAAACAAATTTTGAAGAACCGTAAAATTTTGTGAAGTTTTATATATATTCTTCAAAAAATTTAAAATGAACTAAGAAACGTCACATCTGAGAAACTGAAAGCAATTGAGCGGTCACATTTGGACGCAAGAATTGCAAATCCTGAGAGTACTCTTACAGTACCCAACTACAACGTTAGGAAATTCAAAATTTGATAAGCTTCACCTTGAGTTTTGTAATCTCGAAAACAACCAATATTTGAGCAGTCTTTTTTGATGGCAATATTCGCAATCTTTGAAAGTAGACAACTACAGGGTTGGGAATTTCACTTTAACGAATTATTTTGTAATTTGAGTTTTCTGAAAATATCCAAAAAAATCACACACATCTCTTAAACAAAAATTCTTAAATTGAGGCCGAATTCGCAATCCCTGAGATTACTCTGACAGCCCCCCAACTACAGGTTACGCATTTCAAACTTTGAAAAAAAAATTATTTTCATGAGTTTTTTTTTAATTTTGAAAAATGTCCAAAAAAACGTCATATCTCGAAAATTCCAAAAAATTCAGCAGTCAAATTGGGAGGCAAAATTCACAACACCTGATAGTCTCCTGGCAGAGCCTCACTACACAGATATTAGTTTCAAGTTTTGCGAAATTTTTTATAAATAAGTTTACTGAAAAGTTTTGAAAAAATTCTCAAAAAACGTCAAATCTCGAAAACTACAAGAAATTGAGCAGCGATGTTCAGAGGCAAGTTTTGAAACTCCCTGAGAGTACCCTCACAGATTCCAATGTTAGGATTGAGATCTGAAAGTTTTGGAATTTTTTAATATTTCAGTTTTTTTCAAATTTTGGATAAAATAAAAAAAAACGTCATATCTCGAAATTTACAAGGATTTGAGCAGTCTTAATTGGCGGCAAAAATTTGAACTCCTGAGAGTACCTTGACAGAGCCTCACTACAGAGATGGTAATTTCAAGTTTTGTGAAACTTTTTATAATTAAATTTTCTGAAAAGTTTTGAAAAAATCCAAAAAAAACGTCATATCTCGAAAACTACAAGAATTTGAGCAGCGATATTCAAAGGCACGATTTGCAACCCCTGAGGGTACCCTCACAGATTCCAATTTTAGGATTGAGATTCTTAAACTTTTGGAATTTTTTAACACCTCATTTTTTTTTCAAATTTTGGATAAAATCAAAAAAACTTCATATCTCAAAATCTACAAAGATTTGAGCAGCCATAATCAGAGGCAAGATTCGCAACCCCTGACAGTAACCTCTCAACATCCAAAAACAGGATTGAGATCTTTGTTTTGGAATTTTTTAAAATCTAAGTTTTTGAAAAAATTTTGAAAAAATCATAAAAACCATCATATCTCAAAAACTACAAGAAATTGAGAAATGGAGGCAAGATTCCCATTCCCTGAGAGTACCTTGACAGCACCCAACTACAGGGTGAGAATTTCAAAAATTGAGAACATTTCTAAAATTGAATTTTCAAGAAATTTTTGAAAAATCTCGAAAATTGCCTATCTCGTAAACTAAAAGGATTTGGCTATTCATATAAGGAGGCCAAAATCGTAAAACCTGGGAAAACTCAGACAATATCCTGCTATTGGGTTGCTAATTTCAAATTGATGAAATAAACACTGAATTTACACTGGAAAATCGAAAAAAAAACCTTTAACATTGCAACATAGCTTAAATGTGAAAAAAAAAATTTGTTAAACATGCAAAAATAATACGTTGAAAAAGCTTAAACATGACAATCTAGTGAATCCGGCAATTAAGTATATAATAGATAGATAGATAATAGATGAAAATTAAAAAACTAGGCGACGGGTAGACAGACATAATCAAATTAATTAAAAAAGCAGGTATACAGACAGACAGACTTAATTTGGCCTCGAAAATTAATGACCTTGAGAAAAACTAATTGAAAAACTTTCTTAAGCATTGCAATATATGCTATAGCCTAAACATGAAAAAATTCATTCGTTAAACATGCAAAATTATTATGCTTAAACATGGGAGATAGCTGTTACTCGCATTTAAACATATTATAGATAGATAGATATAGATTGATTTATTTTCATACAAATTTCAA